TGAACTTTATGATCCGACTGACCCGACACCCGAATCAATAATCGGGCCGGATAGGAAACATTGTGCGGCGCTACTAAGCGAACTTACTTTAATTAGTAGTTGCCAAATTCTCGTGCCACAAAGTGTTACATTCTTTAATTAGCACTATATCATTATTCATACCCATCTTTTTATCCAAATTTACTTCGCATAAATAAACTGTTTTCTAATGTTAGGTGGGAACTAGCAAAAAAAGGAAATCATTTGGAATATGCTAATCCGCCAGATTGGACGCAAATTAATTACAAATCAGAAATTCTTGTAGATAACAATAATAAATGTCAAAAATTCTATGGAGTCATCGGATGATTTTCTTATGAAGTCATCCACCATTTAATGTATTGACACCTGTCCAAATTATATCTGTTGCAGGACACGTGTCAATACACTATTGGTGAATAAGTGTGGATGGCTCCATAAGTCGAGCCATCCGATGACTCCATAGCAAAACTGTAATAAATGTTGGAGAAGTCACAAAAATAATCTTTGCTTTCTTGCCCAAATTAAAAATCTGAGTTGAGTTTGGTCACAAACTCGTGTTACTTTCAGTAGGTTCACTGAACCTGCACATATGTGACTCCACCTGATAGTTAATTTCGATAATTATCAAATGGATTGAGTAGTTTGTATGTGTTAGCACTTAAAAACGGCAGACTTAACACCTGACCGTTTTATGCCCGTTAACAGTCATTAGTGGTTTGTTATCCGCCTTAAATGACAATTTAACGTTGATTTTTCATGTTTGAGTTCGAATTATATAAATAGAAGTTCATAAGCTACTGTAATGCACTGATCATATCATTTGCATGCTGACAATTTTTGTTCGGTAGCTTTCTTGTTGTACCAACACACTATTTGAAACATCTTTTATTAATTTTTTATTCTCTTAAAGTGCATTATTCGAACATTTATTTTCCAATTATGTCATGTCCTAAAATTTGCGGAATAATACAACATATGTGTAATGAATGTGTAGTGACATGTGTTACCCTAAATTGAATCAATTGATCCAAAGAGAACCGAAGGTTGTGCACGATAGTTGTGCCGCCAAAAGGGCATGCACACAATTTTAAAGTTATTAACGTCCCCCTTCATGTCGTTTAGAAAGGCATAAAACTCTCAAATCACAAAAGGCAATAATTAAGGCATTAGGCATCACTAAATAAAAAACATTTTAATCATCCTACAAAGTGGTGTAGTTTATACATATCCTACAATATAAATTAGGGTGTGATTTAAAGTTAATCAACCAATTATATTTTTTAACAAAGGTAAATATTTATATTGTAAATATTATACTGTTATTTATGATGTTTTTTAAAATATTTGGATATATGAGGCACCTTAACCATTGTTCACGATTGGAATCGGTCAACAATTAATACAAGATTAAAGAATGGTAAAAACGAGTAAAGAAAAAGATCTAAGAAAGGAGTAAGCTTTTATTGCTTTAATTACGAGGTCGGCCTCTTAAGTCGAGGTCGGCTTTTTGTTTGGGGTTAATCACAATATTAATAACAAGACATTCCTACTAAAAAAAATGACCATTTAACTAAAATAAAATCGATCATTTTATACCAAAATTGAGTTTATTAATATTATCAACTTTATATCATAAATCGATTAATTAATTTCAATATAGTCCCCACAACGTTTCACAATCCAATTGATTATCTTGGCCAATACTTCCTCCGGTTTTACCTAAGTGATTTCAGGAACTATACTTTGCCAAAACTTAAATAACATTTTAGATTATTTTCATATTCCAATTTCGCCTTGACATAAATTCCTAATTTTTTTCTTCATTTTCAAATAGCCAAATTAACTTGATTCTATTTATTACTTATTAGCTTAAAACATATAAAACTTCAATCCTAGTTAATTTAAATATTTATTCAATTAAGAAGTTGGTTAGAACCTTTCCAGTAGAACATTGTCCATTTAATGTAGTATCACTTGGATAAAGAAAATTAAGAAATTGTGTCTTCATTGGTTAATGTTAATTGTGGTATAATTTGAAATGTGTAAGATTATAATTGGTTGGAGAAAAGAGATAAATTGAATAAATAATATGATATATAATAGAATTTGTTTATATTGATTACTACATCTAAAAAGACTTCTAAACATTTTATGTATCACGTAAAACTGTTTATGGTATGAGACAACAAAATAGAACAATTCAAAGACAAATTGATGATAATCTTAATTAAAAGAGAATCATTCATTTCTAAGAAAATGCTTAGTTAAAAAAGAATCATTCATTTCTCAAGCCTAAAATGGTCGCCTATAAAAAAAAAAAAAATTCATTTTGTATTCCCTTTTCAAATAAAATCGTACTCCCTAATAAAATGGTAGTGGCCGAATTCGCTGACGTAAGCAGTGAATTAATTACATTTGTTTTCGGCTTTTAGGTACGCATCTTGAAACAAGAAGTATCTCATAGGTCGGCAATGGGTTTCATTTGTTTTGAGCTATCATATCGTATCTTTT